CATTGCACTGAGAATTTCACATCATATGTTATATTACATTTTTCTATCACATTTTATCACTGCGTTTTGCAAACTTTTATCTTTGCCGTGCCTCAGGATAAACAATGTTGGTTGTTTTCCCATCTCGTGCCAAGATAAAAAAGTTCTTGCCATCACCAGCCCTGGAACAACCAACAAAAAGTTGGCCATGAGAAAGCATGGGCTTTACAGGTTGAGACCAACAACCCCTGCGCCTTGTTGATACCCATGACAAAGCTGAGTGGAACTGGGAAATGGAACCGCCTTAATTGAAATCGCAAGTCAGATGGCATATTTTGGCATTTTTACTATTTTGTTCTTTTTCAACAGTATTTGGCAGAAAATCTCCACATATTGTTCATTTAATAAATTAGAAAAAGATATGACAATTTTCTATAGACCTTCAGAAAGCTGAATTATTTTTAAGTCAAATCTATAAAGTATAAACTAATACCCAAGTGCACGCCCTCAGAATCCTGTTAGTACGCGTGCAAAATTTTAGGTCTCTAGGTTTTTTTCCTCTTGGAGCTATGGAGGTCACACACAGAGACACACAGACAAGCTATTTTATTATTCTAGATATTTATTAGCGCCAGCAATAATAAGGGTGGGGCGCGCGTAAACCCGATTCGATTTTATTACTCATCAGATCCTATACCAACCTACCTATAGCATTTATAATAGTGTATAGAGTATGAAACAATTATGAGTGTTCAGTGTAAGACAAGATTTTACAAGTTGAAACGAAACTAATAAAAATGGAGAATATAACCCATAGTAAAGAAAAAAGTAGCTGAAAGGTGTTTATAACAGTCTATGAAACGAACTGAAACTAAACTATGGCAAACTAAAGTAAATATAAAGTTGTAATGAAGACAAATTTAGCTGATAATGCAGAAACATCTTAAAGCGTATTCACAAAGTGATAAGCACATGGTTTTGAACGTACTGCGCATGCGTATTTAAGACCTAGATAAGTTGAGAAAGCCCACAGAAATTGTATTTAATGTAATGTTAATTTTTAGGAAATTACACGTAGGTTAAGTGTTGTTTTTGTGAAATACTTTTCAAACAAAAACCTAAAGTTGAAATCAAAGCCAGTTGTCACGTGATGACAACAAAATTGTGCCATCGTGTACCATACTCATTGCATTCAAAAGTTTGACTAAGTAAAAAAACAGGTAAGGTAATTCTGAATGAAAATGTCAATATGCAATTCGGACTCCTTGGACAAAGGCCTTTCTAAGGATATGAGATTTGTAGCGTTTGATAGAGAAATTTACGAGAAAAGTTCCGGACAGACAAACGCAAGCGTATTATTTATATAGATATTTTGCATCATACTTTGACTTAAACCAGTTTTAAATAAAACAGAGTAAAGGATATGTAACATTTTTCTATGCAATGAATTACGTTTTCCCTATGTACCTTGTACTTATTACTTCTATATATACAACAAATCGAGGCAGCCTTGCAAACAACAGCTCATACTTCATTCAAAGTTATTTTGTTAACATCTAGAAACGCATACGGTTACCAATTAGAACGTTATACATGTCTGTAAAATACGTGGGGCAAGAATATTTTAATAAAGATAGAAATAAACTGTGAACTGCATCAGATCATCTATATTTGGGTTTCTAGATGTTTCTCAAGTCCTCTTCTAAATATATATATATTCCTTTTAACGTTAGCAAGTTTCTGCATTACAATAAGGTTTGGTGAATTTCATGTCTTAATCAAATTTATGTTCAGCCATAAAGTTCAGTTTGCCAGGACAGTTCTTGAACAACATATATATGGTAATTAGCTGAACTTTTAAACTAAAGCCTATGTTGCAACTCATCCGTTTCTTTGTTTTGGCTATTAGTGTGAGGTTAGTTTAGAAAAAAAGTTATTATCTACAACAGGTCAAACATGATCAAATCAGTAGTGCTCCAGTGAATATTGAAGGTATATCTGAATGGTAACAAAAATCACTTTACAAATTTGCACATTTTGAATACTTTATAGTATAATAAAAGTATAACATTGCTATAAAATATTGAAAAAATCAAGTTCCAGAAGTACATATACTTATTACAGTAACATACAAACCAGTTGTAAAGTTAGTGCTATGGGTTTCAAAAACACTTCAATGTGTTTCAACGGCAGCAAACTAAACAAGGAAACACAATTTGAAATCAACTCTTAATACAAACATGATAAAACAAAATGACATTTTTAGTTTCTCTCCAGTAACATCAAACAGCTTAACTTACACCTAAGTCTCTTATTCCGGTCACTTGTCGATTAGATTGAACAATTTTATTAATACAGATTAAGGTTACTTTACAGGCGAGAATCATTTTTCTCTCTTTTGGAGTTGTAAGATGTACATTTACACCATATAAATGAATGTGAAAATAAAAATAGCTGGAAACATTTTTAATGAAGAAAGATAAAACTAGATAAACAAATATACAATACACGAATTTCACTTGTTCAATAAATAGGGTGGAAAGTGCATATACATTACACTTTTTTTCTGATTAAAAATGATTAACTGCTGACATTCTCTTCTCGATTCATGTTATCCAAGAAAGATTTCATCGAATTTATTGCGGTGCTTTTACCAAGTAAAGATTCTTCTATTTCTTGGCTTTCTCCGAGACTTGTGATAAAGTTTTTCAACTCTTCAACGGCATATGAGTCTGCAGTGTCAGAAAGAGAGCTCACCGGAGATAACGATTTGGGTGTGTCTCCAGTCAGAACCAAAAGACTTAAGTTATCTGGAACGTCAGCATCACAGGTCTGCTTAACGTGGCTCATATCACTTGAAGTTGAGTAGCGTGTCTCCTCAGTGACATGTTTAGTGTGAATCTCAGGAATAATAGCAGTTTCCTCATACTGGCTTTGTTCTGAAGAGGTGTACTCGGACAGCTCTTGACGACCAGCAGTCTGTAAGCTGGAGTTTCGTGTGCTGACCTTGGAACCAATTGTATCATTATGTAAGTTCGTAGGGTAATTGTTACATGTTTCTTTTCCGTCATGTGGAATAGTAAAGTTCGTAGTATGAGTGGCTTCTGATGCAAGAAGTCGCTGTTTTTCCTGTGGCAAAGTAGAACGGATAATGCTTAAGTTATGAGTGTGCTCAAATCCAGGACTGTTGATAACGCAATCATCCTCAGAAAATAAGAAGTGTGAATTACACTCTTTTGTATTATCACTGTCGTTTTTAAGAAGAGACCTAGTCTCTGAGATATGATCAATAAAAGCTTCTTTTTTCTCTTCATCACAGCACAACTGGGATTTATCCCCATCTCGAGTTTTATCTTCTTCGTAGATTTTCTTGGGATTTGGCGATTCGAAAAGTCTGGATCTAAGAAAATATCGAAATATTATAAGAATGTAGATTAGTTAGGTTTTCAATCTGTTTAAATTATTTACAAAAACAGCGGAATAATAATTGTAAATAACTAGTGTACGTTTCAAATCAATCCTAATTTTTCATAGTATCTTATCACGTAAGATATTTCACCAAAACACATTTTCTGAAAAATGTTTCAATTGGCAACTATAACAGTGTAAAAACGCTGCTATTCAATACATGAAAACTTCGTTCCTTTGTATAGGTCGAAGCCACTTTTTCTTCACGGTCAATAGTTTTGTTATATGACTTATCTTTACTATAAATTACAACTCTGCATTAAAAACTTCGAAAGTTAATTTTTAAGTTAGGGATAACTATATAAAAGTATTTGAATATATATATATATGTGTAAAAGTAATGTATACATTATTTTCGTACTAGCATCTGTAACATAAAATTAACATGTGTTAGACTAATATTTCTACATCAATAATGAAATGAATAAACATGCAGACCTCTGGATACGTTTATTTTTAATAGCTGTAACTAAAAACAAAAAACGGAGAGATAATTTAGTCACTATAAAAGTTACTTACAGTCTTGGTGCTGATATTCTTTGTGCATTCATTGGCCCAGAAACTTCAGCAGGTCCAATAAGCTTCTGAAGAGCTTCGACCCATAAATCTCGAGTTTCATTGTCAACAGCAGCCTGAAAAAAAAAAGGAAAAAATCCAATGATACTTTATCATGCAGCTTGTGTCATTTAATTATGTGTAACATTTATTACGTTAACTTACAAAATTATAGCCATTCAGACGAATTTTATGAATCATTACCATTGTAACTTTTATCACGTGGTACCTATATTATCAGCGGCTCCGGCAGAAATTTAGTTTTAGCATCTTTTTGGATGGATATATATGTATTTATATATATATACGTGTGTGTGAGTGAGTGGCAAAAATACGTAAAACGTTCGCTGCTGCTGACAATGAAATAATAACATTTGATACAAATATGTCTCCTAGTGACACGCTCCTGTAAATAATGTATTGTTACGTCTCCGTTTGTTAATTAACTTTCCGTAACTTCGTTCCGACGAAACTTTAGCGACACAAGTCCTTACTTAATAAAACTAGTTTATTCTTTCCGAATATAACTTTACGATACACTTAATTTCAACAATCGCGCTAAAACAAACGCTATAACAACGAACGTGCTCAATAATACTCTCTGACTGCAGATCAATTACTCACTGTCTACACACACATTACATTACACTCACGTTGTGAGCGTCTTATATACATATATACCAGACAAATATATATCTAGTAAATGCTAGGGCATTCACGAAGGAACAAGATACTTCTAGAAAATAGGTGGCGTCAAAATAGTCACGTGATCTCACTGACGCAACATTGCCCCTCCTTAGTATTGTTCGTCCCGAACAATAGCCACATACAATAAACCAATAACAATTAACAATAACTTAATTGTATGTACAGAATTACAATCACAAAATTACAATTTAATAAAGTCTCTTAATTTTACGGGACGTATCTTCTTCCGTACTGGTCTCCGTCTCGTTGGCTTCTGCTTCATGTGGGGTTCATCTGCTTCATCAGTATATGTCCTATCATCGGTAACAGTCACATCAGTGGTATTAACTTC